CTATCGTCGGATCATCAGGATGGAATGAGAGGTAGAGTTGAGTGTCATCAGCATAGCAGTGATATGAAAAGCCATGTTTCTGAATGACATAACCTAGTGATGCCATGTAGACAGAGGAGAGAAGTGGTCCAAGAACTGAGCCCTGAGGCACCCCAGTAGCTAGATGGTGCGACTTGGACACCTCACCCCTCCAAGATACCTTGAAGGACCTATATCATATAAGACATTGAGTACTGAATCAGACTGAACTGCTCACACCATTTGTTTGTTTGTTGCAGTGAGAACATCACAATGTAAGGATGTTTTTCTGTTTATTTTCTTTACTATATTTTATGATTTCTCTATTATCACTTTTAATTCCCACTGCAAACACATAACTCACATCAAACATCATTTTTGAGTTGCTGTGATGCTTTTAGATTGTTGGTGCGGGAAACATGAGAGTACAATGTATGAATGAGAATGTGATCTATTTCTCTGTTATCATCGTCTGACAGACAGACACAGATGTGTGGCGTCTGTACCTCGGCCAGCATGGTCTGTAGCTCAGCCTCGCAGCGCTCCAGCTCCAGGGTTTTGGTGCAGAAGGACTCTTTGAGGCTGATCTCGGTCTCTTCTCGCTCTCTCAGCTGGGCGTTGAGGTCTTTCAGCTGTCCTCGCAGCGCCACGATCTCTCCGGCCCGCTGCGTCATCTCACCCTGACTCTCCCGCAGCTGCTGCTTCAGCAAAGAGATCTCACCCACCTTCTGACACACCTGCACACACACATGTACAACTATATACTTCTGTGCAGTCTTAGCCATCTAGATATTTATACGGAATTTATACTCAAACGTATTGTTTTTGCATGCAAAAGCAACAAATATTTCACAATAGTTAGACATCTACTATAATGAAGTGAAATATTTGTTGCTAAACACTACTGATCAAAAGTTTGGAATAATTAAGATTTATACTGTTTTTGAGTTTCTTCTGCTCATCAAGGCTGCATTTATTTGATCAAAAATACAGTAAAAATTGTAAAATAATATTGCAATTTAAAATAACTGTTTTCAATATGAATATCTGTTCAAATGTAATTTATTCCTGTGATCAAAGCTGAATTTTCAGCATCGTTACTCCAGTCTTCAGTGTCACATGATCCTTCAGAAATCATTCTAATATGCTGATTTGCTGCTCAGTTATTATTGGTCCTCAATTATTAATAATGGTTCTATTTATGTTGGAAATATTTTTGTGGAAACCATTTTTTTTTCAGGATTCACAGATGTATAGAAAGTTTTAAAAGAACAGCATTTATTTGAAATAGAAATCTTTTGTAACAATATAAATTTATAGGTTAATTTGGACCAACTTAATGCGTCCTTGATGAATAAAAGTATTAATTGCTGTAGGGTATCAGAGTGAATCAGACAATTTAAGATTCGATCAGATTGGTGTTGAACAACCCAAAGAGCCAAATTCCACAAAGAGGCCCAGGATGACGTTAGACCACGTCATAAATCTGTCCATGATACCCTGGCACCACAAGTCTGAAGCAAATCTAACTAACCAGCTCTTTCACAGAACAGCTTTCAACATTAACACAAAAGAACACATTGATCATTTCAACTCAGGAAGGAGATTGTCAATTTTGGGGCAAGTAATCAAGATTGATGGTCAAAGAGATGCACAGCATGACCATCACATGTAAATCCATGATAGTAATCACGATCACAAGCTCTTTGGATTGACTTCCCCCCCACCTAGAGGACAAGAACCAGACTGAGATTCCTTATGAGACCTTTTTAAGCTCTCTGGTCTTCACAGAACATGTCCTTATGTCTACAGAATGGCACAGAAACTGCCTTTCCATGAGCAACTAATCATTTCTATGCATAACTCCATATCATGTATGTAACCCACACATTTGACTATCATGATCTAATCACTTATTGTGTGTGTATTTTGAATAACTATTGAATAGTTTATAGGATTACATTAGGGATGCACGATATATCAGCCACCATATCGGTATCGGCCGATAAATGCTCATTTTTTCTGTTATCGGTATCGGCCCGATAAGAAAATTTGGCCGATATCGTAAAGCTGATAAATAATGCATTATTTCCTTCAGAGACACTTCAGATGCACGCTGTTCGTTTGCAGCCTTTTGTGCAATTGTACGTTGTAATATTGTGTTTATTTGATGTATATCTGATTTATCTCATATAGAATGCGTTTGGTTAAGTTAAAAGAGCGCTTCAGTTTACCGGTGATCATCTTTAGCTCAGCGCACGCAGCTCAAACAGCAGTGCACAACATTAATAACTATGATTGGGAATGTCGTGTATATAACATTCTAATGAGAACATTATTATAATAAAACGTTGTGAATTATTTGGGTTTAGTTGCTGTGTTTCAGCGCGTTGTTATGGGAAGAGCGCATCCACAACAGGATCACACATTCTGACTATAGCACGCAATAACTGCGTCATTTTGTACATATATAAGTTGTAATATTATGTTTATGTTGTATTAATATTAATCTCAGGATGCATTTCCTTGAGTTAAATAAGCTGCCAGAAAAACACTTCAGTTTACCGTGTTCATTCAGCTCTTCAGCTTCAGCACGCGCAGCTCAAACGGCTGCTATTTAAAACAGTGGTATTAATTTGTTACTTTTTCAAAATCATTGATACATTATTAAT